CCTGTGTTGAATTTACTCCTTGCATGTAGGCAATGAAGATTACCAGGCCTCCCCCTGGGAGAGCAGGATGTGTGCTGAAGGATGTGTGCTGCCTGTGGCCATTGGTTTCTAAAGGGGAAAGGAGTGGGGTCCCTGTGCAGGCCTGGATTCTTTTCCCAAACTGCCCACTCAGGGAAGTCTCTCCCCTTCCATGGAATGGACCAGGAGGCTTGGAGCACTCTGCTATCTCTCCCACTTCCCCAGAGAAATTTGAGGGCCAAGACAGTCTTCGGTCTTCTGCACATGGGTCTGCACATCGTAGGTACTTGATGAACCTTTGTTGAATAAATGTAGTGTTTTAAGCAATAATTTTCTAGAAAATATCAGGCATATTCTGTGTTGGACTCTGAGAATGAGAAGCTGTGTCATTATGACTCCTTTGGGGCTGAAAGTTAGGGAGTCACTGTATTACCAGTCTTTATCTATTAAAAAACAGGAGAATGATATTTAGTGAGTTCTTGGGCCTTTTGTGAGCTGAGGGCACTAATAAGCGGAAACTACATCAATAAAATATTTTATCAGAGAAAGCCAACCCTACTCCTCCCAGGAAAATTTCTTCATTCATAGCTTAACTCCAGCCAAAAGATACAAAGAGCAAAGCCAAAATGGAATTTTACTTTGAGTCCCTACTTTTAATCATGGTGTCAGTTTTTAGCCAAGCCAAAGTACTTCTTTACCAGTTTCTGCAGCGATTTTCATAACATTTGTCTGAAGGTGTTTGATCAGAATTTAAAGTTATGAATTCAAATATTTCTTGTTTATTTCAGGGAGGGGAGACGCAGGGAGAGAGGTAAACTATTGTTGCTTCCTCCTCCTACTTAAGGATAATCTTTCTTGGCCATTTTGGATTGGCCCATAGTTTAATATAGTCACACGTTGAATCCACAAGCATTTTTTTGTGTACTTGTTGATAACAGCATCGTGTCAGGTATCAGGGATATAGATGTAAAACAAGTATACTCTCTAGAGAGGAAAAACAGTGAAGCAGACCGGCAGTTATAAGGATTTTGTTCAGCGGGGTACAAGAAGATGCCCTTGGCCCAGCTCAAGGGATGGTGTAGGGGTGAGAGCAGGAAGAGTGGTTCAGGAGAAGCGTGTATGAATATCAGGAATAATTGGCAGCCAGAAGGATGTAAACACCTGAACAGGTACAAAAGCTGCTTTTCCTGAGAGAGAGAGAGAGCTCTTAGAATTATCCAGCAATTAAAAGCTTTTCTGTCATTAAAATTTCTAGTTCTGAAGTGATCTGAGTTTAAAAACAACAACAACAACAACAACAACAACATAATGATAATAATAATCAGCAAGTTGGAAGAAATCTCTTTGCCCATCCTGCTTCTTATATGTAACAAGTAAACCTGGGCTCCAACATTGAAATCTGTGTAAAATAAGTCAAAGTCTCTGATCATACATACAGCATCACTCATTACATGGGAATAATAACATGTCTCTCACTGGATTATTGGAGGCTTAAGCGAGGTGACTTATGCAAAGGTAGCTGGGATAAAGCCTTGCATATGGCAGGTGCTCCAGAAATGGTGGTTATAAAGGGAAATTAGGAGTTCTGTACAGTTCTGTCAACTGCATTGATTCTCTGCCTTTCTTGATTAACTTTGGACTGGAAATGGCCACCCTCCATCCCATTAGCAGAGCAAGCTTAGAGCTCTAAGCTTGTGATGTTGTTTCTGTTTAGTGTGTGTGAAGAAAGCTGTTAAAAATTAGGGCCTTTGATCTATTAGAGCAAGGAAGAGAGGCTGAGTGCTACCTTTGTAACTTTGAAACCCAGGTTTCATTTCTTAGCTTGATCGGTGTTGTGGTGGACATTCTTGCACAGGGTGGGAGGGAGGCCAAAACGCGGGAAAATTCCGCCATTCCTGCTTCCAAGTTTCCATGAGTCTGGGCCATCAGGGGAGACCGTCTCATTCTTCAGTTCTTCACTCAGCCATTCATTCATCCACCTTAGTATGCATGTACCTCCTCTGGGCATAGTTTTTATTCTTGAGCCTATCACTCTGACCTGGTCCACAGGAGGGGACATGTGATGTGGTTTTATCGCTTCCATGAGTGATGGAGGGATGTATGTGACACTGACCTGTTTACCTTTCCTTTTCCTGAGCTTCTTTGTATCTCCTGTCATGCCTTCCTCCTTTATGCGATGTCCCCTCTATTTATTTATAGTTTTAGATTTCCTTTAGTGCCATGTTTATATGTTGAAAAGAGCACAGGAAGGTGTGGACAAATTATTTGCTCAGATTCTTATTATTTTAATTGTAGTTCACCCCAAAGCTTTAAGTCAGTGGTTTTTAATCCTGGCTTCACTTAGGAATCACCTGGGGAGCTCAAAGCAATCCTGATGCCCAGGCCTCATCCGAACTAATTATATCAGAAATTTCTAGGTGGATGACCCAGCTGTCAGTATGCATTAAAAAGCTCCCCAGGTGGAGCGCCTGGGTGACTTAGTCGGTTGAGTGTCTGACTCTTGGTTTTAGCTCAGGTCATGATCCCATGATCCCAGGGTTGTGGGATCGAGCTCTGCATCAGGCTCTGTGCTAAGCATGGAGCCTGCTTAAGGCTTAAGATTCTCTCCCTCTGCCCCTCTTCTCTGCTCGCACTCACTCTCTCTAAGACAAAAACAAAAACACAACTTTGCAGGTGATTCCAGTGACAGCCATAGTTGAAAATCAAGGTTTTAGGTCTCAACTAAAGGTGAACTTGTGCAGTTTCTTCCTTTCTTTTTCTGATTCATTTTCTACTTTATTTTTTTTTAAGTGTACTTATTTATTTTGAGAGAGAGAGAGAGAGAGAGAGCATGTGTGAATGGGGGGGAGGGACAGAGAGAGAGAGGGAGAGAGAGAATCCCAAGCAGGCTCCGTGCTGTCAGCGCAGAGTGGGGCTCGGTACCATGAATGATGAGATCATGACCTGAACACAGATCAAGAGTCAGATGCTTAACCGACTGAGCCACCCAGGTGCCCCTCAGTTTCTACTTTAAATTAATAATAATAATAAAAAGTATATAGTATCCCATGTATTAGTACATGTGTATCTTCAAAAGAGAGTGTGGCATGATTGGCTGGTATCTGCTGATTAGACCCTTAAACTTTCTTATGTTTGGGAGAGTTTGCAGCTGGATGAGGAAGGGATAGGGTAAGAGAATCTGAATGGATGGCTGCACGTGTGCCATGGTTGTTAGAAAAAGATACCTAAAATGCTTTGCTTTTGTTATCAGAGCACGTTCACACAGCCAGTAAAACGTTAGCATGTGTGTGCCTTGTGTGGGGCCCTCATTTGGCATGAACTTAGCATTTTTAATCCATGCATTAACTCTAGGAGGTAGTTGTTTCTTGTCCATTTTACAGGTGAAAAGTTGAGACTCAGAAATAGTAAGTAATATGCTAGTACATACACAGAGCTGGAAGTTGGACCTAGTGCTCACAGTTCCTCCACGGTTCCATGTTGGCCTCTTCCTATTTCCATGTGAATAGAACTCCGGTGGGCAGGGGGTGGTATCCTAGTGTGTGTATGAGTCTTGTTTATTAATTCTGCAGATTCCAAGATCTCACTTATTCAATGCATTTTCCCAAAGAGCTCATGGTATTTTTATAGTTTTTTAAGTGACCCCTCTCCTCCTTATATCCCCTTGTAGAGAAGAGACGGGTATTACGTTTATTTTACTACTCAGAGCGGGTGTGTCTCGAGAGCAAAAGTTATCCACTCCATCTCAGGTTTGCGAAAATTCTGTGCATAGTGCTTTTCTGGGCACAGGAAGCTGATATCGTGGACTTCCATCACTGGACCTTTTTGAGTTGTTCCCCTAGAATGGAGGTGGCTTAGCTCTGCTTCACCCACACATCTCCCCTGGTTTCCCAGAGGCCAGGGGAAGACGCTGGAGAGACATTTGTCTCTGGTCAAGAGCACAGTGTGTGACCATAAAGCAAGATGATGCTAAGAGCTGTGTAGGATCACTAATTAAAACATACTGCTGGTCCCGTCCCAGAGAAGGGACAGCTGAGGGGCTTCCAATGTAACTGATATTGAAGAATTGGGTGGATTAAAATGAATTCTTTAAAAAAAATATTTTTTTAATGTTTCTTTTTGAGAGAGACAGAGACAGAATGTGAGTGGCTTAGGGGCAGAGACAGAATCTGAAGCAGGTTCCAGGCTCCGAGCTGTCAGCACAGAGCCTGACGCGGGGCTCGAACTCATGAGCCGTGAGATTATGACCTGAGCTGAAGTTGGACGCCCAACTGACTGAACGACCCAGGCGCCCCTAAAATGAATTCTTTATTACAGTGAAATAACCTGTCCCATTTCAGGGACCTTTGACATCTTTAGCAAGTTAATACTATAATCCATCTTGACCATCAACAGTTTATTTTCAGTGACAATAAAAGCCATTGAATTTTGGGGTTTTTTGTTTGTTTGTTTTGGAACTGAAAAGAGATATTGGAGATAGCTGGTGTATGCTGCTTGAGAGAAATGAGTGCACCATACAGGATGACCCAGTTTCACATCTGTAGCAGTCTTAAAGCATCCGCAAGCATTAGCCAGCATGGCTTCTCCGGAGACCATCTTCTTACTATCACTTGGACATTCAGTGTTGAGCACATATGATCTCTTTAGGGGGGGTCCCCGTCTGGGGGTTTCCAGCCCACTGGTGGCTGTATCTAGAGCAGGGGCCGAGCGAGGTGGCAGGCTAGTGAGCCTTCTTTCCACTCTTCAGAGTGGATTTCTTAGCAGATTGGGGTTGAGATTTTTCAAGGGTTTCCAGGACTGGCCTATATATTTCAGGCAATGGCATATCTTGCAGTATTTCAGCAGTTCAGACAGGAAATTTAAAAAGAGCTGGAGCAGAAGGTATAAAAATTGGAAAGCGGTGTGCCCTTTGGCAGTGTAAATAATGGTTTGATTGTACTGAGTCTCTGCACACTTTTGTGTTCTTTTGTGTTTGTTCCCTTTAGAAACCTGACGTCCTGACCACCGGGGCCGGTAATCCAATCGGAGACAAACTTAATGTTATTACAGCAGGGCCCCGGGGACCTCTTCTTGTTCAGGATGTGGTTTTCACTGATGAAATGGCTCACTTTGACCGGGAAAGAATTCCTGAGAGAGTCGTGCATGCTAAAGGCGCAGGTGAGAGCTATGTTTATTTGTTGTGAAAGGATTGTTTCATAACACCTGGGTTAAAAATTTACCTTTCACAGGGTTTGGGCTTCTTTAATAGAAGCAGCAAATCTCCATTCTTGGGAGAAAGGGAAAAAAATGTCCATCAGGAGAGGAGCTCATAATAAAATGATGGTTATTTCCCTGGATTGAACATTATATGTAAAATGCTTCATTTTACTAAAAACGAAAGTAATCTTCCTTTTCTTCCATTATGCACTTTAGTGAAGAAATAAAAATGTGAAAATAGAGACATGGGCATTCTGGAATTGTAGCTAGATTTAGATGGAGCCCTAATTGGCTACATACTGGGAAGAATGGTGCAAAATTGAGGATAGTTGTGTTAGGGTGGTAGATTTCTGGTGATTTTTCCTTTTTGTCCAAAAGTTGTGAAAACTTTTATCTTGCTTTTATTACAGAAACAAAAGATAGGGTGCTGTTTAGAATAAAGCCAAAAACTCAATTGGACAAGCAAGCTTGATGGGAAGGAAGAAAAAATTTTTCTCCTAGCTGCTTGCTTGGACTCCCGGTTAGAACTTTCTAGTTTTTTATTTTTTTCTTCCATCCCTCTCCAGCTTTTTCTGTGTGGCTTTTCCATCACGACTTTGGTATGCTGTTCAGTTTGTTGTTTGGCCTGTGGTGTCTTATTTGTGTTTATCCTATTCTTTCTTTCCCTGTGTTTTCTCCTCTTCTCCCTGTTCTTCTCTTTATCTCTTAGGCCCTACCTGTACTTCAAGGCCTCCTCAGGCCCTGTGTCCTTGGGTCAGCCTTGACTTGCTACTTCCACCCCCACTCGTCTCTTTTTCTTCTTGGCTCCAGCTGTGTAGCCCTTGGGTTACCGCTGAGTGGTAATAGGACTTTGCATTTTGTCCCCATTCATTTTGTGTTTGGCCATCTATCTCCCCTTCTCCCATCATCTCAGAAGCTCCCAGAAGGCCAGTGCCGAACCATCGGCTTCCCTTGTCACCTAGCTGCCTATTGGGGGCCCAGTGGTCTGTGATGGTCTCACGATGAGGGTTTCTGTGTCTTTCTCATTAGGAGCTTTTGGCTACTTCGAGGTCACTCATGACATTACCAAATACTGCAAAGCAAAGGTGTTTGAGCATATCGGAAAGAGGACTCCCATTGCGGTTCGATTCTCCACTGTCGGTAAGTCCATCTATTTGCGTGACTGGCACTGCGTAACTCAACCCTGTACCTTATTTTGGGCATTTATAACTTCATTTCAAGGAAAGCGTATTAGAAGGTAGAAAAAAAAAACACTTCTCCAAATTATACCAGGTTTTTACAGCAGAAAAATTGTTTCGAGCTATGCAGGAAGTTACTTTGAATTCTGTTTGTTGAGGTCTTACGAAATCACACTTATACAGAGGCCACCACTGCAATTCTGTGACATTTGGAAAGAACCTTCCCACAAGTGGTTGCCTCAGATGGAAATGTGGAGTGGGAAGCTTATTCAGTAACCACAACAGCTACCCTTTATTGGGAATTAACTCCGTGCCATTCATCGTTGGGCACTTTACAGACATTGTCTGTAATCTCATCTGTAGGATCTGCTTTGCAGGGTGGGGCTATTTCTATTTCCAGTGGTTAAGTGATTTTTTTCAGTAGCACGAGTAAGAATTAGATCTATCAACAACATCTTAATACACCACATGCATGAATAATTCCGTTTCTGTTTCAGTCTGTGTTTGTGCATTTTAAAAATACTGTGGATGGGGCGCCTGGGTGGCGCAGTCGGTTAAGCGTCTGACTTCAGCCAGGTCACGATCTCGCGGTCCGTGAGTTCGAACCCTGCATCAGGCTCTGGGCTGATGGCTCGGAGCCTGGAGCCTGTTTCCGATTCTGTGTCTCCCTCTCTCTCTGCCCCTCCCCCGTTCATGCTCTGTCTCTCTCTGTCCCAAAAATAAATAAAAAACGTTGAAAAAAAAATTTAAAAAATAAAAAAAAATAAAAAAATAAAATACTGTGGATGCAAAAAATAAATGACGCTAAGAATAAGAATCTATATTTTAACTCAGTTTCTTAATATTAACCTCATAATTTTGACAACTCACTTATTCTCTTTGTTTACTACCTTAATCTTTACAATTATTTTCTTCCTTCATTTTAATTTAAAATTTAATTACCTGTTTGAGGGGCGCCTGGGTGGCGCAGTCTGTTAGGCGTCCGACTTCAGCCAGGTCACGATCTCGCGGTCCGTGAGTTCGAGCCCCGCGTCGGGCTCTGGGCTGATGGCTCAGAGCCTGGAGCCTGTTTCCGATTCTGTGTCTCCCTCTCTCTCTGCCCCTCCCCCGTTCATGCTCTGTCTCTCTCTGTCCCAAAAATAAATAAACGTTGAAAAAAAAAATTTTTAATTACCTGTTTGAACTATGTTATTTAAGTGGGTAATCTTTTCAGCTTTTACAGTTATGTAAAACTCTCCTTTTTTTTTTTTTTTTTAAATGTTTTTTATTTATTTTTGAGACAGAGAGAGACAGAGCATGAGCAGGGGAGGGGCAGAGAGAGAGGGAGACACAGAATCGGAAGCAGGCTCCGGGCTCGGAGCTGTCTGCACAGAGCCCGACACCAGGCTCGAACTCACAAACCAGGAGATCATGACCTGAGCCGAAGTGGGACGCTCAACCGACTGAGCCACCCAGGCGCCCCAAAAACTCTCTCTTCTTAATCTCAATTATTTTGTTTAATTTGGGGACTGAATTGGCTGGCAGGTGGTAGAAATAATGGCTCAGGCACTTAAGTGACTGATTTCCTTCTAGGAAGTGGGTTGGAAAGCATAGATCCTAATGTTTTTTTATGACCTTAGGCTTATGCCTCATTTTTCCCATTTGAACCTTCTAGCTGGAGAGTCGGGCTCAGCTGACACAGTTCGGGACCCTCGTGGGTTTGCAGTGAAATTTTACACAGAGGATGGTAATTGGGATCTTGTTGGAAATAACACTCCCATTTTTTTCATCAGGGATGCCATACTGGTAGGTGATAAAGTATCTTGCACTCTACAAATGTTTGTTGATTTAAATTGGTTTCAGATAATCTGTTTCGACTGTCCTTTGAGGAGAGGCCTTGGGAAAAGCAGACAGAAGAGAATTTGGGTTGGTTGGATTGCCTTTTAAAGCACATTTTTCTGTATTTAGTATCTTTTTATGAGATCAAGTAACAATTACTATTGGTCCTCAGTTTGGCATTTCAAGATTCACTGACTTAATGGGAATAATCCAGTTTTCCATGTAATGGGACTATTCCCATTAAGGCCATGAATGAAAAGAGGCACTTTGTCCTGGGAACATGTAGAGGGTAAATTTTGTTTTAGGGTTTGGCAGTGTGAAATTCTGGGATTATACTATTCAGAATTATCATCCAACAATTATAACAATTATATTGCTTACCTAACAATAGGCAATGTATAATGTAAGTCCCCATCACTCCGATAAACTTGATTTTTGGATTTTTGTCTCCTTTTCTGTTTAGTTTCCGTCCTTTATCCACAGTCAAAAGAGAAACCCTCAGACGCACCTGAAGGATCCGGACATGGTCTGGGACTTCTGGAGCCTGCGCCCTGAGTCTCTGCATCAGGTGGGGGCTCTCCTTTTTCACTGTATCAGAACATGTCACTGTTAATTATGCGCCGTGATGCCATTTCTCCAGTGCTGGTTATCTCACTGCAACTTGGTTTCTGACTTTCTTTTTGGGAGGCTTCCTCAGGTTGCTTGATCCTGAAGAGTTTTATAATCTGCATTTGTTCATCTTCCCTCATTCATAGGCCTTAAATGATCTAGAAACATTATCAATTGATATTTCCCAATACTAAGGATTAAAGCCTCTAGTATGAAGTAAAGCTCTTTGTTATCAGGGAGAGAAGGGGAAAGTGGTACCAAACACGTTTACTGTTAAAATAGATTTTGAATAACAAGTTAGCTAGTTTTCAGATTTGCTTTTGCTTTTCTTTATAGAATTTTGAGCCATGAGGCTAATGATTTACATATCATTCTGCTTTAAAATTCTTGTTATTTTGTATAAATGATACTAATGATAACCTTTCCTGTGGGTACTTGGTTAGTGTGTCCCATGTCATTAAGAGATTTTTTTGGAAACTTAGGAATGTCTTAAGAATCTAGGATGTTTTGATTGAAACTGAAAAAATTTAGGCTTTATTTACTTTTCTGTTTCTTAGGTTTCTTTCTTGTTCAGTGATCGAGGGATTCCAGATGGACACAGGCACATGAATGGATATGGATCGCATACTTTCAAGCTGGTTAATGCGAGTGGAGAGGTAGTTTATTGCAAATTCCATTATAAGGTACGTGTTGCCTTTGGGGAAGAGGGGACAAAGCTCTCACCACCCATGTCTCCTTACTTCTCTTGAGGATTGGGCAGAGATCAAGGCCCTTTACACCTTTCCCTTATGTCCACTCCGAAGGCTGGAAAGTATTGACTCAGTTGATCAGGACCATGACTCTTCTGTTGGCTATGCCCAAATGAACAGGTGTGCGCTGCCCTGTTAGGGGAACCGTGTGGGCTTTCTTTGGTCTCTTTCCATGTGGCCAGAGGGTAGGAACACACTGCTGCTGGCAATGGTCAAGCTCTCTTCTCCTTCTGGGGTCCTGGGAGAAATGTGTAAATATTTGGGAAAATACTCATTTCATGCTGGTTCTCTGGGTTAATGTTTCTGGTGCTGGCAGGTGCGTATCCATTCTCCCTGGAGAGGGAAGACCTAAGGTTTTGTTTGGGGCTCAAATGTAAGGAGATAATACAGGCCTTTATGCTATATGAAAGGAGATTTCTACCATGTTTAGCCTAGCTTTCTAGACTTCTTTGTTGGAGTTTAGAGTCAAGCCTTAGCAAACAGTAAAGTATTATGTTGCTTTGCCTTTCCTAGCCCAGAGTCATCGATTTGAGCATAGATACCTTTTGTGGCCCGGGAGGGGACAGTGGCAGAAATGGGGACTTCCTGTCTATAATACCAATCTCACCATTACTCTCAATGTCTGATGCTATCTTTCCAGAAACATTTCTTCTAACTTTTTAACTCCTCCATCCATTTATTTAGCATTTATCAAGGGTATATTCTGAATAGGGAAAAAAGTAAAATCAGTTACAAATGTAAGAAAATAAAAATTCTGGTTTTTTTTCATTTACTTTCATACAATCATGTCAAATAACTTTCCTTCAGGGGAAGCTTTGAGAACATTTGAATTAATTGAAGTGTTTTAAAGGGCTCTTCTTTCTTACTATGATCTTGGCATTTGTTGCAATAAGCAGTATTCTCAGAGAACTCTAGAAGGTTATTTAAAGAATCTCTGGTTGCCTAAGAACACGTTTCCAAATACTACTGCTAAAATAAGCACAAACAGAAGTGGACTGAGGACAAATGCAGTCTCCCTCTTAATGGTATCTGTCCCAAGACCTGTTTTTTCCTTGTGTCCTGTTTTAATCTTTATCTGAACAACTTATGTATGTATATCAAACAGGAAAACTGTCTCCCCTCTTTATACTTATAACTTGGATCTATAATCTTTGGCAAGGAACAGTTTTAAGAAACAGCTGCCCTGCGGGCTTGTAAGTGCCAAGAGGAGAGGTGTAGTGTCACTGGGAGCCAGACTAAGTGATTGTGTCTGGTGCACCGGCATGGTGGTGGCTTTGTAGTTGGACCAGTCTGAATTCAACTCTTCCCTCTTCTAGATAACTGTGACTTGGTCTACTATTATTGAAAGTTCCCTGTGCTCCAGCTTTGTCACTCTAAAATTGGGATAATCATAGCAACTGTCCACGATCCTGCGAGGATTGGGTTGCTTATGGGTCTCTTCAGCAGAGGGCCCTGGGATAGCCTGAGACCTACTTGGATGTATCAGTCTGGATTATTCTGACCTATGGTTAGTCTTTTCTGAGCCCAAGGGAATTCAATTAAAATCAGAAAAGTATTGCAATATTATTGCACAATTTAATGAATTCGCTCTCTGGGTGATCTGCAGACGGTGACCTCCAGTTTTAAATCTGGAAGGTGATTGTACTTCTGGTCTGATAGTAAGAAGAGTTCAGGTCTTGCCACTGGTTAGAGAGACTTGAGATTTTTGTGATAGAAAGAGTTTCAGAGTTCACTTTGCTGAGGAAATCTTTCGAAGCTTGGCTTGTGGGGATCTTCAGAATAAGATATAGGTGGAAATCTGTTGAAGAGCAGTATGGTGTGATAATAGGAACACTGGTGACAGTGACTAACTTATTTGGGTTTTAATGGCTTGCTTGGGAAGTCAGAATACTAATTTTGCCTACTCATAGTCAGAGAATTGGTTCAGAGTGGCTCTACTGAAGTTCTTTTCAGCTGTATGAACTATGATTCTATGATTTCTTTTAAAAAAAGGAAGACAGTAGAGGTGGAGGGATGCTAGCTGAGTATAATCTCAGTAATTTATTTGAGCTATTATAAAACAGGGAGTTAAAAATTACTTCATGAAAAAGATAGTCCTTTTATTAATTTTTTGCTCATTTAAAAAATATTTTTTGCTCTTTTTTCTGATTTGAAAAGTAATATGAGTATAACAATTGAAATAATAGCCACCTGGAAAACAATTTTGATGTTCCTCAAGAAATCAAACATAGAATTACCATATTACCTGGCAACTTTATTTTGAGATATATACTCAAAAAAATCTACTGAATTGGACACTTTAAAGTGGTTAAAGTGGTACATTTTATGTTTTGTATATGTTACACCAAAAAGTTTTTGGCTTTCCTGAAGACAGTGTCACAGCATTCTTATTATGGGTGAGACGTTGAAAATCAACTATATGTTAAGAGTTAAATTAAAAAAATTCAGGGTACAGAAAGGGAAAGAGAGGACTAATTTTAAATATGAAATGCACCTACAGAATCCCTGCATATTTAAAAGAATGAGGATAACCAAGTGGAATTTCTTATTGATAAATTCATATTTGGATCAGAGTTGAAGAGTGGAATTGTCACAAGGAAGGTCCAGTGTTTGTGTAGCATTGCTCATCCTCCTCAATGCATAACTGATTAAAGTTCCGTAACTTTGCCAGTACGTTTCAGTGTGAGCCTCTTTCTCTGATTCTGCAGACTGACCAGGGCATCAAAAACCTTTCTGTTGAAGACGCAGCACGACTTTCCCAGGAAGATCCTGACTATGGCCTCCGAGACCTTTTCAATGCCATCGCCACAGGCAACTACCCCTCCTGGACTTTTTACATCCAGGTCATGACGTTCAGTGAGGCAGAAACCTTTCCATTTAATCCATTTGATGTCACCAAGGTGAGTCCGTTGACAACCAAATTGTTTTCTTTTTTAAGTCTCTTTGTGCCTAATTTTACAGATTCCAGTCAAGCATTCATAATGATAGAGAAGTCATGTACAAAATGGCAGTGGTGCCTCTTTGGATTTTCCTAATCTGTGCATCACACTTCTAGTTCCTATTTGCTGAGTTCACTGAGTTCTTCTAGGTGGCTTGATCTATCGTTATTAGCAGGGAATAGCTAATCAAGATTAGCAGATCTTGAAAAGCTGATGTACTTGTGCCCAGGGAAGATGTCAATATTTACCATTAACTGGTGTGAAAGATTTAACCAATGTACTCAGTTGAAGTTCTTTTCATTTTATTGGATTAAAAAAATCACTATTTTCACTTATTATCATGGGCTTCATTATATTAGTTTCCTGTAGTTGGTTGTCTGGTAATTGTGAATATGACATTTATTTTTAGGTTTGGCCTCACAAAGACTACCCTCTTATCCCAGTTGGTAAACTGGTTTTAAACCGGAATCCAGTGAATTACTTCGCTGAGGTTGAACAGATGGCATTTGACCCAAGCAACATGCCACCTGGAATTGAGCCCAGCCCTGACAAAATGCTTCAGGTAAACCTGGTGGATTGAGATGTTCAGAGGCAGGAGGACATACATATGCGTGTGTGGGCCTACCCCCCCCCCCCCCCCACACACAGACACACACACACTGTGTAATTTGGCCTGACTTTTGTATGAAGAATTAACCAAAACATCACTTAAATTTTCATCTAGGTCCTTAGTTTCCTCAGTTCCTGTGGGTCTGACTGAAGCATTCGTAAATTATAGTATTACAGTATAAAGCAAATTTCATAGTAAAGTCTTTCAGTATGTTAAGACTTTGACATTTAGTCTCTTAGTTTAAAAAAATTTTTTTTTTCAACGTTTTTATTTATTTTTGGGACAGAGAGAGACAGAGCATGAACGGGGGAGGGGCAGAGAGAGAGGGAGACACAGAATCGGAAACAGGCTCCAGGCTCCGAGCCATCCGCCCAGAGCCTGACGCGGGGCTCGAACTCACGGACCGCGAGATCGTGACCTGGCTGAAGCCGGACGCCCAACCGACTGCGCCACCCAGGCGTCCCTTAGTCTCTTAGTTTAAAAGAAGTTACATTAGAAAAACCTCAGCTATCCATAGAGTAAAGAAAGCACTCTTTGTTCAGTCTGTAATTGATGGGAGGGAATATTATTAATTGATTATAACACCTTGGTCAGTATAACTTGATTCATTTCCTCTTCCATGGTGATGCTTGAATTTTTCCATCTGTAAAAGGAGACAGGAGATGGTTTTTATGAACTAAATGTCTGTTGCCACTGATTGAAGGCAGTGGGTTAATTTAACCATTTGTCTCAGTAATGTTCCTACTCATTCACTATTTTTTTTTTTAAATCACTTTCCATTATGCTCTTTCAAGAGTAGAAAGAGTAGGGGAGCCTGGGTGGCTCATTTGGTTAAACGTCCGACTCTTGATTTCGACACCTATCATTATGTCTAGGTTCATGGGATTGAACCCAAGGTCAGGCTCTGCCCTGACAGCTCAGAACCTGCTTGGGATTCGCTCTCTCCCTCTCTCTATGCCTCTTCCATCCCCTTGTCCAAAGTAAATAAACATTAAAAAAAAGAGTAGAAATAGGGAAAAATATTTTTGGGGGGCCAGAAATCAGTAGGAAAATAATTGGTTTAATAATTAGTGAGTAAACCAATCTCTTGTGTTTTTGGACTCTGACCATGATACAGGGGTTAAAGATCATTACCCCAGATCAGACCATAGTGACAGATGGATGCTTCTTATATAAGTGTCCAAGTCCAGTTCAGGAGTCACTGTCCATGGAGACAAGCTAAGGTGCCCTGTATTTTTTTTTAGTAGAACCTTGTTTGATTTGACATTGGGAACATTTGGGACTTTTATAGAAAATAAGTTTTTGTTCGTTTTCAGTTCAATTTAACTACTATAAATTGAATACCTCTGTGTGTGGCAAACTGTCCTGGCTGCTATAACAGATATAAAGACTGAAAATAACTGTAATATAAAGCAGAAGGCCCCGTGAATCAGGAGAAATCTTGTCTGTTAGGAGGATGATGACAGAGTTTTGAGAATGAGCTATCATTTGAGATAGCTTTTGAAGAATGGATAGGATTTCAGTTTTCGACAGAGATGAAATGGGGCAGGAGAGAGACCTGAGTATAGATACAATGGTGGACCGTATTTAAACTGTAAGCAGTCACTTTTTCCTGAAGTAGAAGACGTAGGATTGGGTACATGGAACATACGTCAGAGGGGACTTCAGTGCTTAAGTAGAAGTTTGTACAGTTAGACCTTTTAGGAAAAGAAGGTTTCTTCCGTTTTGAGAAATGTGATCTGTGATCAAGTAGCATCGCTACAGTTGGTGACAGAACAAGAGAGAAGTGAAGGTTAGGGAGGAGAGAAGAAAGGCCAAGCAGAGTGCAGAGGATAGGCAGAAGTGCCTGTGTTGAAAATGGAAAGGAAAGGAAGCCAAGACAGCATGACCCTGGGCCCTCAACCTCCCCGCCTGGAGTTGGAAGGCGGCTGGACCATGTGAAGGAGGTTAATGGGATTTGTCAAGGCATGAACTTGGCACGGGTAGAGCCAAGACTGCATAGCCTTGGCATTGAGGAAACAGGGTGAGGAGCAAATGTCATCAAAATTCTTTTCACAATCCGTGTCACCATGGGTCTCTGGGACCACAGTGAGACACGGAGACCGTTAACAACACCGAGTCATACGATTAGAAGAGCACTGAAGCATTGGGTGGAGGCCTAGGCCCAGGGGAAAGGACCACAGATCAAATACATGTTCTCTGCAACAAGAAAAAATAAATGTCTAAGCCATTTCATTGAAACTGTTGGGAAGAGAGTCCTGAGAAAAGATGATAAATGCAAACCATGCAATTATATGGGTGAATTGAATTATATGAATGAATCATACAATTTCTATCAGCATTGTGGTTGTGGCAAACATGTATTTTATATTCAAAGTGCTGTCGTTACAGTTTTTTAAGTGTGTTTAGAAAGTGAAAGGGCTTTATGGAGTGGGCGCAGTCAAGATATCAGTCCCTAGCCCGGTTTTTCCACAACTTCTCAAGTCATTGGCTGTGAGTTCTAAGGCCTTGGAGCATGTGAGGAGACATGTAGGGAAGAACCGTGATACTCGTTTAGCCACTTGGTGACCAGTGAGGAAAGGTTTAAAGTAGGTAAGTAACGTAATCGGTGTGGGGCCTTAGGCCCATTCCTGTGGCGGGAGTGTGTAGGACGATACTGTCGGAGGAGGGGCGGGAAGCGGAGAGCCAGTGAGGAGAACTTTGAAATTGCTCCAACGGGAGCTGAGGAGTGTCCAAGGGTGGTAGTGGTTGTATGGTAATGGACGGTGGGTTCAGTTACCTTTCAGCCAGGTCACGTTAATAAATTTTCAAGGGTCATCCAAAGTGGTAAGCCAGATCACTGTGAAAAGGACACAGATTCCAGTTAGTTGCCTACGATGTGATACATCTCTGAGAGTAGGAAGTAATAGAAGACAGGACGCTAACTTGTTATTTGAGAAAACAAAGGAGTTCTTACCTAGAACAGGTGTGAAAATCTGGAGTTGTTTCGCTGTGTGACGTGGAAGATTACGAGCTGTTCAGTTAGGGAGAACTCATTTCATAAGGGAAGAAACTTTGCTGTCTTCAGGGGATAGTAGGCAGCGTTTTGTGGTAACCCGGTACAGAGTGCTTTGTGCTACAAAGTTGAGAATGAAGTTTATAGACCCTTCTGTTTTGTTTGTTACTGCACAGCACCAATGCCTGTTTCATTTATAACTGTAGGGCCGCCTTTTTGCCTATCCTGACACCCACCGCCACCGCCTGGGACCCAACTATCTTCAGATACCTGTGAACTGTCCTTTCCGTGCTCGAGTGGCCAACTACCAGCGTGACGGCCCCATGTGCATGGTCGACAATCAGGGTACGCCTAAGACATTCGGCTCGCCCAGGGAGGGCAGAGGGCCCTGCTGAGCGGGGAGAGGGCAGGGGACGCCATGCCAGGCCAGCGGTTTGCCGTGTCCTGCTCTGTGGAGAAGACCCAGGGGACCTTCTCCTCTATGAAGCAAGGAAAGTTTATCTGTATACTTTATCTGATAGGTTTTATTGACAGTTCCCATCTCACATTTTTACTTGCTGTCCATCTGATAGCGAAAGGCAGGGAGGAAAATCCTTCACACACTGGCTGTTGTCGAGTAGCATTCAATTTAGGGGTTAGGTTTTAGGGACTTCACAAAGTAGATAGTTTATTAAATCGCTAGGACTTGGACTCTTGGAAGTGCAACAGCCAAGAGTTCCTGTTTCTTGTTCCTCTTTGCACTTTGCCGGGGCTGAGGAGGAGCAAATGTAGCTAGAGTTCAGAGGGGATGGGGCAGGTGAGATAAGGGAGACAGAGTAAATCAAGCCATTCTTCCCTTTTCACTAAGGGCATGTAGTTGAATTCATGTAAATCAACTGGTGAGATGAGACTGTAGTGCATCATTTTGTTTTTTGGAACTCATTTTTCAAATTTATGATTTTTTTCTTTTGACTTCTGTTTTTGGTGCCATGTATCAGCAGCTTCTATTTGTGATAACTTGTTCTAATTAGAGACTGTTTAATTAATGTTTTTTTCCTTTTAATATTTTCTAGCTTAATATAGATTTTAATTTTCTTTTTGTTTTCTATTTAGGACACATTTATTTTAGTAATAGGCTGCTTACATTGATCCCTTTAGAAATTTTACTGATGATTTATATTTATATCTATGGCTATAGATGTCTATATTCAAAGATGACTTTTCTATGATAATAATAATACATGTGCCCTAAAGAAAATTTAGAAAACATAAGGGAAAGAAGAGAAGGGAGAAGGAAAACCCACTTACAGCCCCAGCCCTCAGAGACCACAACTGTTGCATTTTGCTGTATTTCTTGCTGTATTTTTTTCTGTGACTATTTTTTTATATACTTAAGATTATTTTGTTTATATGATTTTGTGCCTTGCATTTGTTATCATCATGACTAAGCCTTTTCTATGTATTTAACAAGTTTATTTACTCACTAACTGATTATATTAGGTGTTTGCAATACTTCTGCTTTCTGAGGTTTATAGGGCTAACGGGGTGTGTTATTACCCAAAGTAATTGTTACTTCCTTGTATCTGTCTTCTGTATTTTTATTCTAAAGTGATTTTTTTCTTTCATATTCCTCAGTCCTTCTTTATTGAGACTACCTGTATCAGAGAGGTTCATGTAGATTTCAGAACTTCATTAATTAGTACCTGTTTCATGTTTATCATTCTTGTTTACCATTATAGTGGCACATGTATGAAAAAACTACTTAAGGATACATTTTGACACACCCTTTGCCCAGTTTTAAAAGCCAAGCATTTGGGTTGTGCTCTTGAGTTTTGATGAAAGAGCTTAATTGTTTCCAGTAGTCAAAGACTTGAAGACAACTCCTACTTTGAGTAAAGGTCGGAACTTATTTGGAAATAGAATTTTAAAATTACCCAAATAGGCACATTTCAAAAAGCTGATTCTAAATGCAGAAGACCACTGTAGTGGCTGGTTGTTGGAGCACAACACCTTTGATATAGATGAAGCTCGCCTAGAATGACTTCCAAGGGCTAGTAATTGGGCTCCGTAATAGTATGGTGCCTTCCTTCTTCCTACGTGCACTTGGTACCTTGATCAGTGTCATGTATAGGTGCATCTTGATTATTCACTCTGGATAATCTGTTCACTCTGGATAACCAGTGAGCCGGTTAAAGTTCCAAGCTCAGACTGGTTTGTTCAGAACACTTACTATGTTTCTAGGCCACTCCTATTTAGGCAGCATGTGCTCAGGTAACTCAAGCTTCGGCTAATACCAGTCAAAGCAGGTAGGAAAGTAAATATGCCAAAATGAAAAAGAAAAGCCTTTTCATTTATTCCAGAAGTTGTAAAATAGGTTTTGATTGCATTTTATCCTTATTTTTTCTAGAAGTCTAGATAAAATGAGTGCTGACATACCTGAAATACCAAATTTTTTTGAAAACCCTTTTTTATTCATCTGTGGAGGGAAGCGAAAGTGAAGCTAGAGCTGAATAAAGTCATAGTCAATAAAGGAAAGAGACTTCGAGAATCTTAAAAACCTTGAAGGAAGGGCGAAGGAGAGCTCTGGAATGGGAAGTGGGAAGATGATTGTGCTGCAGTGGAAGGCACAAAAAAGATCCCCGACACCAGCTCTGCCACTAATTACCACGTGACCATGCGGCAGGCAGTTAACAGCTCAGGGCTCCGTTTATGTGTCTGTAGATTGAAGGAGCAGAGCAACTTTCAGTTGCTCCCAAGAATTCTGTGATTTGGTGTTTGAATTGAGCTCAAGCCCAAATGCAACTCTCAGATTTGAAATGTGTCTTTGGGTCTCTTCTTCTGTGGGGGCCAGATCAAACCTGTATGAATATATTCGTACTGGTAAGCACCAGAGGATTTTAAAGGTCAGATCCCTTGAAGTGTTCAAGCAACCTTGAGATCTCTGCAGCAAGACCCAGAGTGGGCCCACCCATGTGAGAGCATTTGGAAGCTGGCATTGTTCTTTAAGAATCTGAGTCCTGCCTGTAGCTAAACAGAAGACCTTAAAAATAATAGGTACATGGCATGCATATGTATTGTGTGTGTATGTACGCAGGCATGTGTGTGTACATATGTGTATATGTAATTGCCACTTGAATTATATCTTATCACGTTGACTGTTTTCAGACTTACTTCAGTTTTCATCTCCCTAAGTGAATCCGTATGGTTTTTTTTTTTTTGAAGGTGGTGCTCCAAATTATTACCCCAATAGCTTTAGTGCCCCCCAAGAACAGCGCTGTGCCATCGAACATAGCAGCCAGTGTTCTCCGGATGTGCAGCGCTTCAACAGTGCCAATGAAGACAATGTCACTCAGGTAATGACTCCTTTGTCAGCTGTGAGAGGCATTAGATCAGTTTCTTGTTAGTGTCTGCATATTTCCCCCTCCTAAAGTGTCTAATATGTCTTAAACTGAATTCATGGAAGACATCCGTAATCATAAATCAGTCCCTTTATTAGATGGAGTTGGAGAGCTGTGTTGCTATGCTCTTTCAGTACAAGGTATGGAGACTCATTTCAGCTCCCCCAAATTTTATTGAAGGGGTTATAGGTGGGGGCCATTGGGGAAGCAGTGACACATAAGAATGTAAGAGATGGGCAAATAAGGCAAATAAGTACAACCACATCTAAGAAGATGGGCAGGACAGCCTAGACTTAAGGGGCTGGGACTTGATTCACAATAGCCTAGTTCTAGGAGCCTCGGTAGCAAAAGTATGCATGTTTCCACCATAGGGCACCCTGTTCATGTTACTCCACTGCTTTCCACCTGTCGTCTTCTGTTTTCTAGAACTGATTTCTTATTCTTACCGTGTCCTCCCGAGTTTCTCCTCACCACCTCATAGCTTCTGTTCTAACATTGCTCTGACCATGGCCTAACCTTCTTTATGGCTTCTTTCTCCATGTATCACTTTTTTTTTTTTTTTAAACCATTTCTCTCTCTCTCTCTCTCTCTGTCTCTCAATATTTATATATCAGTTTCTGGAGAGAGGAAGTCTGATTTGACTGATCTTTTCACTTCAGGTTGCATCATTGGCCTTTGGCCAGCCTATGGTTGACTGCCCTTGGTCAAGTACCCACCCTCTTTGCAATCCCCTGTGGCTGCCTAAGAGCTGTTCTCTCTGTGGATGCACTGCAAGAGACCCTTTGACTTTATAGAGCAGCCTCCTCATTAACGTGCCCAGTACAACTTATACCTCACACAAGAGAAGAATGAAATTAAAGAGTCTAGTTGCCTTAAGAGCTCTGTTTCGGTTGCTGGTGTTAAACTTAGTGTATAAACTTAGAATAGGACCTATATCTAGTTTCTCAGTTTATAGATGTGGGTTCCAAGTAAAAGATATTGAAATACATGAATTTATTCACTGTGGAGATACCTTTATTTGAAAGGCACATATGTGTATACATAGATATGTGTATATAATAAAGAAATTACTTTATAGTAGGATATAAACCACATTTAGATGAAGTTAAACACCTTCTAAAAGCCTTTTGTGGTAACTGCATTATTCTTGGTGAGGCAATATGTTACCAAGTATATTATAATACAATCCCTGCCTCTCAAAGAATTTTGCCTGCATGAGGCCTATTCCAGTGTTAAACTAGCTAATACAATGTCTGCAAAAATTAATTTAGATAGTAAGTGGCTTCTAGAGTGAGAGAATATATTTGCATTTCCTCTAACTAAAGACTCATGTCCAGAATATGTAAAGAACTTCTACAGAGCAGTGAGAAAAAGACAAATGAATCGAAAATGGGCAAAGACTTGAATAGGTACTTCACAAAAGAGGATATCCAAATGACTGAAAAACATATGAAAGGTGGTTTATCTCAGTAGTCATCAGGGATATGTAAAATGAAACCACAAAGAGATAGCACTACATATGCTCCAGGATGTCTAGAATTAAAACGACTGCCCATTCCAAGTGTTGAGAGAACGAGAAACAACTCTAACTCTCCTGTGAGTGTAAATTAGTCCAGCTGTTTCAGAGAACTGTGTGTCAGGATCCATTAAAGCTAAACACGTGTGGGTCTTTTCACCTAGTAAAGTACACTCTTGTGTGGGAACCCAATAGAAATGTGTACATATGAGCACCTGAAGAAACGTACAGGACTGTTCATGTTACCAAATGTTCAACAAGAGCTTGGATAAGCACATTTGGCAAAACACAGTTAAAATATTAGAAGTCGGGGCACCCAGGTGACTCAGTCAGTTGAGCATCTGAGTTTGGCTCAGGTCATGATCTCACGGTTCGTGGGTTCGAACACTGTGTCAAGCTCTGTATTAACAGCTCGGAGTCTGGAGCCTGCTTCACATTCTGTCTCCCTTTCTCTCTGCCCCTCTCCTGCTTGCACTCTGTCTCTCTTTCTCTCTCAAAAATAAACATTAAAAAATTCAAAATATATAAATAAAATATTAGCAGTCGAAAGAACTGCCTTTCGGGAGGCAGTTGGAGGGGAAAGAAAGTGACTGGGAAAAGGGACTACAGTGGGCAGATTTCTGAGTGTGAATGATCTGGGTGGTAGTTACATAGTGTGTTCACTTACAAATCATTGAACCTCACACTTATGGTTGGTGCCCTCTACTATAGGCCTATTATACTTCAATTAATAAGCTTACTAACGAAAAAAATCATTCTCTCACTTTGTATAGACTAGTAAAAATACCAGTTTTCTGGGGGCACCTGGGTGGCTCAGTTGGTTAAGCGTCCGATTTTGGCTCAGGTTATGATCTCGTGGTTCACGAGTTTGAGCCCCATGTTGGGCTCTGTGCTGACAGCTCATAGCCTGGAGCCGGCTTTGGATTCTGTGTCTTTCTCTCCCTCTGCCCCTCCCCTGCTCATGCTATGTCTCTCTTTCTCTCAAAGATGAATAAACATTAAAAAAAATGTTTAAAAAAATGTTTAAAGGGAATTTGGTCAAAGGTCTGTGGTTAAAGTGTTGGAGCTGATAAAGCTGTTCAGAATCCTCATCTGGCTAATAAATTAGAACAGCCGTCCCATGTGTGGAGTCCGTGCCACCTGTAGTGAGCAACTGTAGATGGTGGTTGCAAGCCAGGTAGAAGAACATGCAGATCACAGCACCCTGGAGACTTCTTCAGTTTGACTTCCAAGTCCCAGCCTGCCTTTGACCTGAGTGGTGTGAATGCTGAAGCCAGGCTTAGATGGTAAGGGTTACATACTATTTACATTGCAGTCGTCTTGTCCGCACGATGAGATAGGGGTGCTGTTCATCTCTGTTTGTACATGTGCTTTTTAAAAAACTTCTTGGAGCTAGACCAGCCAGATCCTAGGCAAACAAGTTTTTTGTATGGTTTTTGTTCAGTGGTGTGTTGATAAATATTAGCAGTTGTGTGCAGGGAGGGCAGGGGAAACCCTGGTTTATAGTGCTTGTCAATTTTCTTGATGAAGATATTCCCTGGAGCTGATTTTAAGCTAGCAACATGGTGTCACTGAATCTGTGGCATTGGGATATGGTGTTCAGTATTTCCACTGTAGAGATACAGCAGACACAAATAACCTCAGGAGCATAGGTTACATGTATTAATTGGGAAATCATACATTTTGGGAGTTTATTATTTTTTTAAATTTTTTTTAATGTTTATTTTTGAGAGAAAGAGAGAGAGAGACAGAGTGCAAGGAGGGGAGGAGCAGAGAGAGAGGGAGACACAGAATTGGAAGCAGGCCCCCAGCTCTGAGCTGTCAGCACAGAGCCCAGTGCGGGGCTTGAACCCATGAACCGTGGGATCATGACCTGAGCCGAAGTCAGACATTCAACCAACTGAGCCACCCAGGAACCCAGGAGTTTATTATCTTTGTTTGCAATATAATTTATTTAATTGTAAGTTTATGTAATTGAATTTTTAATAACGGCTATGGTAAACAGGTCACAAAATTTGTAAAAAGATCACAATATGCCCTCATGAGCAAGCGGGCTCCAGCACACTACTGAAATTGCAGGACCAAATTCCTTTCAGTTTGATGGTGATTGATGGGACACAGGATGCCTTACTTCTACTCATCACACATAGACATGCTAGATTTAAAATTTTTTTAAAAAGTAGTTGAGCTGACAAACAAAATTAAATCTCTAGGAATAACAACAGTGTGTGAACGTTGAAGGTATATATATTACGGTGTGTAACCAGACCGTATTTATGACTTAAGGGGGTAGGAGTTTAGGCTTCAGGCTCCTTGCGTTGCAGAGAGCTAGAATTGGGCTCTTGACATGGTGAGAGCCAGGAACCGCCAGGAACAAACTATCCACCAGACTGAGGCTGCGGCTTGTGGCATGTGGGCCCTAGATTTCCTGAGAAATTGATTTCCTGAGAAACTAGATTTCCTGAGAAACTCTTCTGCTCCTCTCCTCTCAGGTGAGGTCTCTGTATTCTTGTTCCACTTAGAACCATAAAGAAGCCCTGAAGTGAGAGACAGTGGGTCAGTGAACCCTGCTAGGCTTCTGCAGAGATGGTGAAAATATCACAAGACACCTTCATAACTTGGATACAGTTGGTTGTGCAGAAAACTCCTGTTGGACACGAGTCACAGGGAAAAATTACAGTACATATAGGGAAATCCATCGCCCTGAGAAATTGCACATGCAATAGATGGAAAAATCCTGTACATTATAGAATAATCTAAAAGGGCTTTAAAATAAGCATGTATACAGTATTCAAGGAGATACAGAAAGGAATATGATTTACAAGATAAGAATAGGATGTGAGGAAACAAAAACAAATAGATTTAAGAAAGATCCAAATAGATATTTTTAGAATGAAAAAGTACAATTTTTCAAATAAGAATTTAATGGATATGGGGACTCAGTGGATGATTAAGCAATATGTTAGATATAGCTAAAGAGAGAATTAGTGAATTGAGGGAGAGATCTGAGAAAATCCCCATAATGCAGTACTGTGATTGGATTGTCTTCTTATCAAAAGTCAGATTTTTAAACTTTGGTATCAAACGTAAACTTTGCTCAGATTTTTAAACAATGCTTTTATGGCTTGATATTTGATAACATATTTAGAAAAGCTATGAACATTTTGACATTTTATGAATTTGATATTTTGGATAATGGGATTTTTTTTAACTTTATAAACATTAATATAAAGTGCATAGAACAGTGCCTGGTACATTATAGGTACTCAATAAATAAGTATCGGTTGATTGAATGAATGAAATAGTAGAATAAAATCATAGCTATTACCTTTAAATGGTTGATTTCAGAAATGAACAAAGTCCATTAGGGCTCCTATACCAATACTAAGCTCCAATTTTCCATTTTAATCTATTGATACTAATTTTAGAGGTGAGCTCAATAATATAAACAAAATATCATTACTAACATGTATCTTCATAAAAAAATTTTTTTTTTCATTTTATTTATTTTAGAGAGAGGGAGTGCAGGGAGGGGCAGAGAGAGAGGGGGAGAGAGAATCCCAAGCAGGCTACACACTCAGTGTGGAGCCCAATGCGGGGCTCGATCCCATGACCCTGAGATCACAACCTGAGCTGAAATCAAGAGTTGGGCGCTCAACTGACTGAGCCACCCAGGCACCCTGTGTCTTCTCCAAGAAAGCTTGGCTTCTGAAAAACTAAGGATATATATATTAATGAATTAGAATTTTTTTCCTCTGTGGTTCTGGGTGAATTGAACAAAGGTTGTATTGTGCTGAGTTTCTATGTGATGACAGCTTGCACACTTTGGACTTGGCAGTGTTAAGGTGTGGTGGGATTCTTAATGGTAGACTGTACGGTTTTCTGTTCATAAGAGATTTACAAACACTGACGAAGAAGGACGTTATGAAGAAGCAGTTGTGGGCTCTGATCAACTGAATTCTTTCTGTTTTGCTTAAAATAAAACAAAAAAAAAGTGAGGAACTCCGCACAAATGACAATTTTAACTAGAACTTTAAATTATCCTTAAACTCTGAAATCGTTTTCATTCTTATGCCAATAAGAAGTCTTACTTTTTCATTTCAAAAGTGGCCCATCGGGTGAGTTTTGTTCATGATAAACTGGTTATTTGATTCTCTGCACTGTGCATTTTCACTGAGCAGGTGCGGACCTTCTATATGAAGGTACTGAATGAAGAGGAGAGGAAACGCCTGTGTGAGAACATTGCTGGCCATCTGAAAGATGCACAACTTTTCATCCAGAAGAAAGCGGTGAGTCACGCTTTGTAAGCTGACGGGTGACATCTGCTGGCCGAAGAGAGTGCAGCTGTGTGAAAGAACCCTTAAAAGGAAGTGTCATTTTTATTGTACTTGAGCTAATTGGACTTAAAAAAAAATCAATACTAATCCCCAGCCAACCTCTGATCCTTTTCTCTGTGTTTTATCTCCAGTGAGTATGGTATATCCATTGATCCATTAGCTCCTTGTCCAGCGTATAATAATTTAGTTGAGTTCGGGTGAATTCTCTCCTATGCTCTTTATTGACTGCAGCCAAATTCTGTTCAAGAGAGTACTGTCCTATATAAAAATGTGGGTCCTGCCACAATTTTTCTTAGACTTTAGAAGATAAGAAATATAGGAGTGCCTGGGTGGTGCAGTTGGTTGAGTGTCTGACTCTTGATCTTGGCTCAGGTCACAATCTCATATTTTGTGAGTTCAAGCCCTGCATCGGGCTCTGCACTGATGGTGTGGAGCCTGCTTGGAACTCTCTCCCTCCGTCTTTCTGCCCCTCCCCAGCTTGTGCAGATGTCCATGCTCTCTCTCTCTCTCTTTCTCTCTCTCTCAAAAAAATAAACTTAAAAAATTTAAAAAGAAGGTGAGAGATACAGATTGCAACTTTATATCATGAAGCCTGTCTGGGTGTCATGACACTTAACCCTCCTTCAGAAGCAACTAGAAACTTCCATGCTCTCTGGGGAAAACTGAGCTGCTTCCAAAACTCAGGCTGAACTTCTGAGCGGAGGTGCCATGGTATTTCTGATGGCAGTTCACTGTGCTACACGGAGCCTTCTCACTTGGCAGTTTTCTGGCCAGCCGCAGGGCTAAGCTTCACGTAAATTTAGGCAACCCCAGTTTCCTCGTCTCGTGGTTGCTGCTTTTCTGTTCAAAGGAGCAGCTGGCCGGCAGCTCTCTGGGATGTGTTCAAAGGCCTGGAGACAGGTACCAGCAGGCTGGGCGCTTTCTCTGTAGGCAAAGTTCTGTGTCTTTAACTGTCTTTCACAAGTGAGTGTATGAAAAATAACCCTTTAAATTCCTGAGGCACTATTTAATTATTGCCGCCTGCAGCAGAGAGCTGGACAGTTGCTCTGTGAGATAAGGGGGTACGGGTTTTAGCTCCTCTTACTGATGAGAACGAGTGAGACAGTGTAGAAGTAGCAGAACTGGGCTCGGACCCTTGGCGTTCTTGTCTCACATGCGCCGGAGCCGGGAGGCTTCATGTGGGTTCCTGGTGCCCCACCTCCTGCTGTCTGCTCAGGATCAGCCCCCGGTGAGGAATTCCTGCTTGAAGTATGTGGAGTTGTCCAGCAGGTGCCAGTGTCTTTGTGCACGTCACTTAAAATTCAGGTAGCGTCTGGGCCCATTTCTGTACATGAATCACTGTGACTTGAGCCACTCTGAGGTCAGTTCATCACGTCGTTAGCGCAGCTCACCTCGTATGTGTTTTTCTTATAATGTTCTGTGAGGTAGGCTTAATTATCTCACTCATTTTATGGGGAGTGGACACTGAAGCTCAGAGGAATGACTTATCCAAGGTTGCTCAGCCAGTATGGGCCAGGGTTTTCCCCAGACCCCGCCCCAATCTTACCCCGTGTCGACAGAGCCTGTGTGGTTCTACCCTTCCTTCCTTCCCAACGAGTAAACACTGTGAACCGGACACCGGCGTCTGGCCTGTTAGGGGCTCGGGTAATATTTGCATCATTTTCATTTGGTTTCAGGTCAAGAACTTCAGTGATGTCCATTCTGACTATGGCGCCCGCATCCAGGCTCTTTTGGACAAATACAATGCTGAGAAACCAAAGGTGAGCCCAAGTGCAGCCTGGAGGTAGAGGAAGGGTATCTAACTACGATTAGACGAGGCGTAGTTTGGTTTCCTTTTACAGTGATTCTTCTCAGGGCCAACTATTAGATTTCCGAAGCTGTCCGGACCCTCATTTGCCACGTAAAGAACTCACTTGCAAAGCCCATACTCTTCATTTTAGCTCTGGATGATATAAGGCAGTTTAGATAAATGAATTCCCAATTGTTATTATTTTAGTGTGAGCACACATTAAAGCAAAGACGAAAACCATGTAGCTGCTGAGGGAGTTAATTAACCTGCTGGTCTTGTTCTTTTCAAACAGAACGCCATTCACACCTTGATGCAGCATGGGTCTCACTTGGCTGCCAGGGAGAAAGCGAATCTGTGAGAGTCAGCGCCCTGGTCCGGCCCCAGGTTGCTCTCCACCTGTGAAGCAGAGCACGGTGTCCACTCTTCGCTGGATAGAGCCTTCTCCTGTGCTAGGTGTGCAAAGGCAAGCTCATGCCTTTAAAATGATAATCCAGGTTTCTATAGCAAGTAATGCAGCAATGGCTTTTAATGCTGTTCCCCTAGAAGGAAGTGAGGGTTAGGGCTTAACCGGTCATATTAAAGAAAATGTATTTGCTTTGACATTTGGATTATTCACTTAAGATGACTGGAATGAAAGTTTCTAACAGAAAGATGATTTTATTTGATAAAAAAAAAATCTTGCTGAAGTTAGTATGTTTACATATCATCTCATGGCCTTATTAAATAAAAATATGTCTGTGATTATATAAGAAGAAAAGATAATCTGCTCAGAAATTTTAATTTTTCTCAGTTCCCTATAGAAAAAACATTTAATGCATTGATGTTTTTTGACAATAACTTCAGTGACATCATAGCTTAATGCTTATTCCTGCTTGGAACTGCTCAGCCTTTTTTAAACTTGGGATTACACTTATGCTAATATAGCATTGATTTTACAACAGACTGATTTGTAATTGTTACATTTTTACAATAAAATAATCTGTACATAAGAATAGAAGAATGATATTTGATTTCTTTAGGCTCTTTCTGGAATTTGGACTCTTAATCCGAGTATCATGTGTTATCAGATGCTTACCCTTAAAATTGAAAATAAACCAATGTCACAAGGATGCTATTGTTATTTGTTTAAACCAGTAGCCTTCTGAGACACTGGGGACCAGGACTTTTTTTTTTTCTCTAGGGAAAATAGCAAATTTCCTCAAATTTGAAAATTGCCGAGATCTCTTGTCCATTAGCTCACTTGCTTATCTTTTCTTTCTTTTTTTCTTTGACTCGTCTTTGCCTGTCATACCGAAAATCAAGTAGAGTGCTTTGAAGTACTCAGTGAAAACCTGTTTTCTTTGAAAACCCTTATTCCCTTCATCTCTGATCTTGAAAACCAGTTTGCACTCTGCTTGCAGGAACTCCCTGAGATCTTTTCAATCTTCTAGTTCAAACTTCTTTAACCCCCCACCCCCACCCCCTGCCAAATCCTACTCCCTAAATTCTTCCTGTGTGTGTTTTGAAACTATTACATTTGTCAACATAGAAAGTAAGATTATCTGGGGCGCCTGGGCGGCTCAGTCGGTTAAACGGCTGACTTCAGCTCAGGTCACGATCTCGCGGTCCGTGAGTTCGAGCCCCGCGTCGGGCTCTGGGCTGATGGCCCAGAGCCTGGAGCCTGCTTCCGATTCTGTGTCTCCCTCTCTCTCTGCCCCTCCCCCGTTCATGCTCTCTCTCTGTCTCAAAAATAAATAAAAACGTTAAAAAAAAATTAAAAAAAAAAAAAAAAAAGAAAGTAAGATTATCCATATGTACCCAGTGGTGAATACTTTCAATATGGTGACCTCACTACAGTTGTCTTTCTACAGTACATAAAAGATAAATATAAGTATATGTATCTTTATGATATAAGATAAAGTCATACAAATTAATATAATTTGACAGTGGGGAAGGAGTTGATTTGAATATTGGTTATAAACACAGAGATGGAGTTTTTGAGATAATTTCCCGTTTTGGTTTATTCTGTCATCTAGAAATAAGTCAGTAGTTAAAATCACGTGTATTTAACATGTTTCCTGTATATAAAAATCTGACACCTGGAAGTGTCTCCAGTTTTGCTCTGGAGACATCTTACTGTAATTTTCAAAGATAAATATTGATGAGGTTAACTTCCCCAGTTAGGTTTTCCTTCCTGGGAAGTAATATCTAGTTGTATTCCTTTTAAGTGACATTAAGAGACGTCCTTAGAGTTTCTGAGCCAAATTTATAAGGTGACTAAAATTAGTGAGACATGGTGTGTTATCACCTGTGGATATTTGAGTAAGTTGCTTTACCTCTCTGAGCACTAGTTTCCTCATCTCGAAGTGGAGTCAATAATTGTTCTTATCTCCCTAGGGTTGTATGGTGGTTATTATTCAAAATATTTGACTTTGACCACCACAGCTTTCCAGTTCAGCCCCCTAGGACTGTGTCTTGGTCAGATTTTGCATTGTAACAAACCACTTTAAAATTCAGTGACTTAAGTCAGATATCACCTATGTGTCCAAGTCAGCTAGGGATTGGCTGATCTAGGCTGGGCTCAGCTGGGGCAGCTTGGCGATGTGACTCTGTGTCACATGTCTCTCAGCCTTCTGGGATGCATGGTGATGGCTAGCCCATAGTGATGGCAGAAGTGTAAGAATGCAAGAAAAGGAAACCTCTTTTTCCTTTCTCTGGAAATTGAGATTGCAAGAGTAGAATCCCAATTGCACAAGGGTTTTGAAGCCTTTGTTTGTGCCATGCCCACTGATATTTCATTGGCCAAAGCAAGTCACATGGCTACGCCCAAAGTCCAAGAGTGAGGAATTGTACTCCACCCCTGGAGGTGGAGTGTGCGCGCCTGTGTGTGACTGTATCTGAACATTAATTTACCATAGACTCGGTCCCCCATTAAGTTCCTCAGCACTACTAGAACATTCAATCAGTTCTCAATGATCATCACCGTGTTCATGTCCTCACTTCCCTTCTTACTCTGTTTAAATTTTATGTAGTTCTAAATCATAATTATTCCAGAACCCAGCTTTGGTAAGGAACACCTCTCAGTGACTCAGTTCCTGCACTGGAAATGACCATGACTGGAGCAAAACACAGCCCTGTTGGCTGGACTTTTTAAAATTTGACCCCAAACCTCAGGTGGGCCTTCAGCACTGCCTGGAAATCTGTCTTTGCCTCCTCACTAAACTCTCCCACTCGGTTCTTCCTTTCCCTCTGCCTCTCAGCTCCTTGTTTCACCAAGGATAGAATAACTTCCTTAGTTTTTCCCCCACCGGAATCTTCCAAACTGCCAGCATCGACATCCACGTGCTCCCCTTTCCTTTCTATTGACAGAAGTGAGCTCTGCTCCTCCTGAAGGCCAGACCCCTCGTGTGCACTGACCGCATGCTCTCCCTCCTACTCTGGGTTCTCCCTGTGCTCTCTTCCATCACCCCTGTGAGTCTGAAAACCTGCTGCTCTAAGTCAAATCGTCTCTTGCCCTCGGAGGGCTCTCCTGTTACTGCCCCCTTCAGTCGGCAGTTCTCCTTTATGGAAAAACATCTTAAAAGAATTGCCTTTCCTTGCTATCCCCTCTGTCTTCTGTCCTCCCTTGAACCTACTGCAATCAGGCTGCCCTCGCCAGGGTCACCAGTGGCTTCCATGCTGCTAAAATCCAGTGGTCCCATTCAGCGATGCCGCTTCTGGGTATATGCCCCAAAGAAGTGAAAGCAATGACTCGAAGAGCTGTGTGTACACCCTGTGCTCATAGCAGCGTTATTCACAATGTCCAAAAGATGGGTAGAACCCAAGTTTCCATTGATGGATGAATGAATACACATAAGTTGGTATATCCAGACAATGGAATATTAGGCTTAAAAAGGAAGGAAATTCCAACACACGCTGCAACATGGATGCCCTTTGAAGGCATGATGCAAGAGAAAATAACCCAGCTACAGGACAAATGTGGTATCATTCCACTTATGTGAGGTCCCTAGAGGAGTCAGACCCTCTAGACCTAGAGTGGAATGGTGGTTCCCAGGGCTGGGGAAGGGGGAAGTTCGTGTTTAATGGTCATACGGTTTCAGTTTGGGAATAGGAAAAAGTTCTGGAGATGGATGCTGGTGATGGTTGCACAACGCTGTGAATATATTTAATGCCACTGACTTGGGCACTTACCATGATTAACTTATTAAATTTTGTGTTTACGTATTTTACCACAATGAAAAACAAAATCCCATGGTCCATCCTCCTTCCTTCTCCCACGTGGTCTCTTAGCAGTGTTTGACACAGTGGATCATTGGAACTTTTTAAAAAAAGATAATAGGGGCGCCTGGGTGGCTCAGTCGGTTAAGCGGCCGACTTCGGCTCAGGTCATGATCTCGCGGTCCGCGAGTTCGAGCCCGGTGTCGGCTCTGTGCTGACAGCTCAGAGCCTGGAACCTGTTTCAGATTCTGTGTCTCCCTCTCTCTGACCCTCCCCTGTTCATGCTCTGTCTCTCTCTGTCTCAAAAATAAATAAAGGTTAAAAAAAATTTTTTTTTAAAAAGATAATAGCTTTTTTGAGACATAATTTACATACCGTAAGATTCAGGCAATTAAAGCATACAATTCAGTGGCTTGTAGTATATATACGGAGTTGTATAGTCATCATAATTGATTTTAGGACATTTTTGTGCACCCCCCCCCCCCCCCCGCAAAACCCTGTACCATTAGCAATCACTCACCCTGCCCCGAACTGAACCTTGCCCCAACCCTTGGCCATCACCAGTCTACCTGCTGTGTAGAGATGGGCCTGTTCCACACGTTTCATTTAAATGGAGGCCTACGACACACGGTCTTGGTGACTGGCTTCTTTCCCTCAGCATCGTGTTTTCAAGGCTCTTACATGTTGCAGCGTGTACCGTGCTTCATTTCCTTTTATTGCCAAATAATACGCCACTGTACGGATGTGCTGTGTTTTATTTACCCGTTCGTCAGCTGACAGACATGTGGGCGCCTCCACTTGTCGGCTACTCTGGATGATGCTGCTGGGACCGTTTGTGTGCCTGCTTTTGTGCGGACACGTCCTCTTCAGCTCTCACATCCTCACCTTCAAGGGCATTTTCCCTTCAGCTCTGGCACACCGCTGCCTGAAGATCCACTCCCGGTATTTTAAAATCGATGATTTGTTCTCCTGAGAGGAGTACTTGGTCGGGGCTTTTAAGCTCTGGGAGGGAGCTCCTTGTTCTTGTGAAATCCAGTGTCAGAATTTTGATGCAAAAACACATTCATCTTGTATTTCCCTGAGCATGAGCATCGCTCCAATTATCTACGAAGGAAATGAGCTGTAAGACCTTAGCACGTGCGTTTCTGAGAGAAAAGCGGGCAGGCTCTGTGGCCCCTTCTTGGCCTCTTAGTTCACGGCACCACAAAGCAGATGGCCAAATTCCACTTTCAGTGAGCTGCTGAGACAAATTGAAGGCTTTAAAGTCCTCATCAGAGCTTTTAACAACGTGAAAGGTTAGGAGAGGTGAACTCAAAAAGTTCTGTATACTTTTAGATTTTGGACAATTTTCAACAGTCACGAATATACTGAAAGTTTTCTATCCAAAGCTCTACTGTGATTTTTTGTTGTTTTTTTTATAAAGCAACCACTTTTCCCTCATTTGACTCTTTGAATTTTGCGTTGTCATTTTTAGGGTTTTTTGTTTGTTTGGTTTTGGTTTTGGTTTTTTTTGCTCTAGTATCGTTTGCTGGCAGTGTGGTATTTTAAGCAGCTTTTCACATTTTCCGTTCTTTAGTGACTTGTGTCACGGAGCTCTACGTTCAAGTAAAGCTCACATTTAAATTTTTTTTTTTTTTTACATCTTTTTTTTTTTTTGAGAGATAGAGTGAGACAAAGCGTGAGCAAGGGAGGGGCAGAGAGAGAAGGAGACAGAATCTGAAGCAGGCTCCAGGCTCTGAGCAAGCGGTCAGCACAGAACCTGATGTGGGGCTCGAACCCACGAACTGTGAGATCATGACCTGAGCCGAAGTGAGACGCTCAACTGACTGAGCCACCCAGGCACCCCGTAAAGTTCACATTTTAAAGAGTATAGTGGGTTGAATTAAGTCCTCTAGAAGGATAGCCCGTGTCC